CGACGAGGTTATTTCCTGAGCTTAACCGCAAAATATCATTTCAATTAGGACCAAATTTTTGTTCATTAGATTGATTTACTATTTGTATTCTGTGAGCTAGTGATCGGATGCCATTGTTTATGAATCCTCAATGAATGTTAGGATAGCATGTTAAGTATATACTAATATCAACGCGCAAACTATTATTCCCGCCCAGGAGATTTGTGATATGCATGAAAAACAAAATGGACGTTTATCAGATGAGTTTACTTGTAGATTTAAAATTTATAAACGGAATTCGCATCTGATGATATTAGTGTTAAGTTGTTGTTGCGAATCCGAACAATGCGCGCATGCGGGCTGATTTTATTGTTTATTTTTGCAGGATCAAATGCGATTGAGCGAACGTGTGGGTAGAGAGGAAAAGATAACGGGAGATTCTATTGACTATATTTTCTGTCAGCACTGTTACGTGTTTATGAATATCTATGAAAAGATGCCACCGTTGCACATTACGTCATTAATGCACGCCATTTTATTACAGGACCAAAATTATTACTTGTGTGTTCATTTTATAGGGGGAAGACATTGAATGGAGGATGTTTTATTATTACCACTATCAATTATCAGATAGTAATATTGTCCTTTTGCCAACTAGAATCTATCACGGGTACTTATATATCATTCTGTTATTATAATTAGTCTAATAGATAACACTACAATGGTCATGCTCATCATCCATAACAACTACTGAAGCTGTCAATTCAAGTTAAAAGAGGAGAGATAAAATTTGATAAGAAAAGCATCATGTATTTTTTCTTCATGATTATGATACACAGCAAAAGTCGATATAACGGACTGTTCGGGACCCGTTATATCGACGAGTCCGTTATATCAAATTGTAATTGTGAGTTTATACCGGACTCTTAATTAAACTTGCAAAAAATCCGTTATAGCACAACGGTGTTTAATATCTTTTATTATTATTATTTACAATTATAACATGTATGACATAAAACCTAGCATTTAAGACTTGAATGTAAAAAACTTGTCAAGTTTGTTGTTCATATAATTTTCTTTCTTAATTTTCCCAAACTCAAGCATCTACATCTACAAACAGGTCGATCGAATCTTATTCTATCGACTTTCACTGTGTATTATTTTAGTATTGTTATTTAGATATGCGTGTTCTTCAGCCGTTGTTGACAACATATTTACGATTAAAGCAAGCAGTTAAGGTCATTTTCTTACGATTTGCAGGATTGAAAATTGGTCATCAATGTGCTGAAGGCATCAAGTATCAGTAAAATCTACATACCATACAGCCACATTCAGACTTCTGATTTATTACTTAATTGTGCATGTGTCTGATTTATTTCCGATTTGTATTACATTATTGTGCAACGTTCATCGGCAATAAATATTCTGATTTATTGAATCTGATTTTTTGGATTTCGACCAGCGATATGAAATGGTTTTGGAACGAATTATTTGTGACTATAAGCAGATAGTGACTATAAACGAAGGGATTATAGTCGGCTATAGACAGCAGTTCACTGCAACCCCAAAAAAATTTTTGTAAATCACGTGATTTAAAGCTGAGCCGCATTAGCGGACGAATTATTAATTTGGTTTAAAGTTAATTATTAGCGAGCCAGTCCATAAGGTGAGAGACATTTTCTTGAAGGAGTAACTTGACTAGATGGCTTGCGGGCCGTTTTTCCCCTCGTACACAAAACTACCTCAAGTGAAAAATTTCGCGTTTTATATCTTTATGTCAAATATTATGATATAACTGCAAGATTGTATAGTGTTTTAGATACCTTTTAATATTGTCGCAAGTTGCTGAGGTGATATGTTTTGACGCAGGTAAACAAGCTTTATGTGAGAATTTACAGAACGCAATTTTATTTAATCACGAGAACAATGTTTCTTACGAAAATCAAAATGTCGGAACGGCAGGCCTTCTTTGGCGAATATCTTCACTTTTAAAGATAAAACTAAAAGCAAACTCACTGAAGAGGAATGAAGAAAAAAGCCGATGCCCTGCCATCCCTTCGTCTCTTATTTAACAGATGATGAAAGGCTTGGATATTTGAGATTTTTAATATCGCTGTATTCTCACTCCGAGCCAATATTTAATATTTTTGTCACCGTCAGGTACCAGGCACTTCAAGATCACTTAACGATTTTCGTATCGATGATTCGAACCTCGAGAATGCAGTGTTTATAAACGAAGAAGATTTTTATACTCAATGAACTCAACATCGATTACGGGTATTTTCTATCAACAATATCAAATTGATGGCTCTCGTCCACCTAACAGAGATAGCTGTGGAATTGGTTTTCTAATTAACAAAGAAACAAAAGTAGATGCGTATCTCTCATAGTTTCTGGTATGAATAACCATCCAGTCTACGTTTATCATACTAAAGGCAGTAGAGATTATGAATATTTTTACTTTGTTGAATTTATTCAGATGAGTGATGATCGAATATCAAAAGAGTAGGAATAAGCAGCCGAAGCCGAAGACATTTTATTTGAAAAGATGGAAATTATACACAACTGAAAGATAGATTAGCACGAATATGTTCTTGACTTTTTTCCCTCCCACATCTATTTGCTGCGTTTAAGTCATATGTTCAGATATCCCCAAAGAAGGGCAAAATAACGCGCGATAACAGATTTGGTCAACTCTCCGGCTACGTCCCATGTATTGTGTTCGCTTAGTTGAAACGGTGACACATTCGTTACATTGCCATCATATGCACCACAATACCCATATGATGCAAAAGCTACTATACGGAGCTTGCTATATTGCTGAACGTCCTTAAACACATCCCAGAATTCTTTTCCACCATGAAGTGGCACAGAATCTTCCATGTCAGGTTTATATAGTTTCTGAACTTCATCTACGATTAAGATGGTTTCAATACGTGAACATTCAGAGACAAATTGGCGCCAACCGATGTTCCCCATAAGCCATCGAAACCGATCTGAAAAGGTCCATCCTGGATCGTCGGCCTCCATCCACAACAGAGATATACGAAAAACTCTTGTTCCAGGTTGTTCTTCCAGCAGATGCTTCTCAAGAAGTTGTGCAAGTGATGTTTTCCCCGCCATTGGTGGAGATCGTATTAAAAGAACGCGCATCTTGGTTAGATGATTTAACAATCTTTTTATCGTCGGAATTCTCTTACAAATCATGGGATCAGATAGGTTTACACTACAGATGAGAAAGTATAGACGTCAACTATAAGACTCTCTTCGAACGTACTTCTCAATCCCACATACTCTTATCCGGTATATTCTGTTGCATGCTGTATGTTCTCATTCTTACCTCTTTTGTCACTCACCAATGTCGGAACCAAATCTTCAAAGCTACTCACGATAAGACGGCATTTCGTAACAGACTGTTGATAGACCGTTTGACGCAGTATCGAGTGATCTCTCATCTATTCTTTACTATTGATAGCGTATTGTCTTCATGGGGCTCCATTTTTCTCCAAAGTCTATTCTCGAGTTTTCGTGAAAGTATTTATTGTCGGCCTTGGATAATGTTTGACAGTCTGTGTAAAGACATCGCGCTTCACTCTTCATTGCCACCCGAACAAGTTCCTCGGTCGCGAAACAACGGCTGTGGGCTTCATAATCAACGCTCCTGTACGAGAACGGAGAATATTAAAACTAGACTGTTTATATACAGTATACTACCCAATTGTTATGCATATGTGAACATACCTGTATCTCCAGAAGGCAGGATGTAGAAAGCAGATTCACTATATTCAACTTCAATTCTTCATCCTCTCAAAATCCTCTCCCATCGTTTCGTCCACCCAATACTTCTTAAACTTCACTTCACACGGCTTACCCCATCTATTGCTTCAGCCATGACCTAGGGAATTTAGAAAAAAATTTTTTCCTTTGTCACATGACATTAGCAATGACGGCAAAAAAATTTCTTGTTGCACTAATTCGGAAACAGGCATCCCCCGCATTTTTATGCATATTATTAACGTTAATATATAATCTTGTGACTTACTATTACGATGATTTAACCTTATTCGTATTAGTAATAACGATAAGTAAATTTTTTTTTCTTTCATGGAAACTAAAATCTATTTTCCGCCACTACTATATTGTGGCGTATCAATGATTGCCACTCTACTTTTTGCGTATGACAAATCTTGCGTTTAAACCTTAATCAATTATTCACTTGTAGACACGGACTTGTATAGACAATTGGCTTACAGTTCTTACAGTCACACCTTTTTACAGAACCAACCGATTTTATAGTAAATTTTTACCTCTATTACTATACAGTCCCAATTCGCTTATAGTCCCTATCACAGGATAACAGCAGAACCGATAAATAGTACCGTAAACTCTCATGAATAAGGGCCCCCTTCATCATATAAAACTACTATCGCGAGGGACTTTTATGTGCCAGTTTGAGCTGGTTTATCATATAAAGGTAGCGCATAGCCAATGAACGATTGTGTCATATGCAGATCGTGTTGCGTGCAGATTTCCTTTAGATTTCTCTGCAGATGATTTCTTGGCATTTTCCACGCCAACCCTCGTTCCTTAGCGGATTGAAACCATATTTATTATTGAGCGCTAACGGGAGATCGAAATCTTATAATTGAGTATTTATCCGCCGCTTTTCCCGTGCATCCGCCGCTTTTCCCGTGAATCCGCCGCTTTTCCCCGTAACAATTCGGATTATTATCACGGTTATTTGATTTTTTGATTTATGACCAATAATAATAATAAACATGTATTTCTGGACGACTCTGATCCAACAGTATTGTTACAGCCGGATTATTCAATGGTTTGCAGATCACGGGAAAAGCGGCGGATAAATACTCGATTATCGAAATCTTATATTCCTAATGGCTAATTTCCAATACTATTAATATTAACGTTAATGGTAAGTTTTTCGAAACGTTATCTATATGTAGACATACATCGTCTTTAGTGCGTTCTCATCAGTACCTCTCCTGCCATATTTAGTAGTAGGTAGTTTGCCAAATCTGGCAGGAGAGGTACTGATGAGAACGCACTTAATTAGGAAATTCAAAATAAACATCTTTCCAATCGTTCATTGGCTATGCGCTACCTTTTAGTTGCTGTGTGAGTTATTCTTAGGAACCACGCGCGCGGTCAGAATCTCGCTTCAAGCACCACAGACATTGTCAGCTCCCCAATACTGCAACAATCCTCTTCCATGTGCGTTCTGGGGAGCAAATGAGAGTAAGTAGAGACGTCGCATGTTAGCATGAGGAATGTCCAGATTCCAAGTGCAATAGTCCGGTATTAGTATATTTGATTAGATGACTGCATTTTATCTAATCGGTCTCCTCATAACCATCTTGCAGTCAATTTCCGCAGGCGTAGCCTTTTTAACAACCCGCGCTGTAGTTCGCCGTTGCACACCCCCTCCTGGCTGTAATTTTCTAACGCCATCCACACCATCCACACCATCCGGCCGCTGTATCTTTAATGAAAAAACAACGCCTTTCCAATCATTTCCAACCAATCATACATTGGCGACATTGAAGGCTACTAATGATCGAACATTCAATTCGCGGCAAAGCAACAACCATTGCAAGTTCGCAATGGCTTAATGGACGGTAAACTCGTGGCCGCGGATGGAAAGACAGTTGTCAAGTCATGGACAAACACGACAAGAATGGATGAAAACCCGTACGCAGATGGAGTATCCGATTTACTAACAGCTGCTGGAGCAAATCTAGACGCTCCGTCGACTGCACCGGGTGCCAACAGTACCGATAGAGAAACATATAGATCTTCGGGTGTCGTCATTGCGATTGAATACAGAAATGTGCAATTCAAAAAGGATAAATTCCTCAAATCATAGATGGAAATGAATACAAGGAAGTCGAGAGTCTGTATCAATCAGATGGGTCGTATATATTAAAAGAGAGAATGGCATTCGATTGGTATTCCAGCAGCATGGGAAATTGGTGAATTCAGTTTCATTTCGTTGCTCACCAGCATTGTTGCTGCTTTCGCTCTTTTCAAAGTGGCGACTATCGTAGTGGAGGTTCTAATGCTGAACATTGTACCGGAGAAACGTGTCTACGAAAAGGCAAGGTTTGAGGTGACGACTGGCTCTGACGACATCTGAGAAAGGACTTGATAATGAGACGGAATTAGCATGAGGGAAAGAAAGAAAGAAATTATTAGTGACATTACTATTACATTATAATTATCAGTATTAGAACTATGGTTAATACTATACTCATGATAGTCATAATTCCCCTCACTAATCATAATTACTACGACTTTCGAATAACCAATTGAAAACGGGGATGTGTTTAAGGACGTTCAGCAATATAGCAAGCTCCGTATAGTAGCCTTTGCATCATATGGGTATTGTGGTGCATATGATGGCAATGTAACGAATGTGTCACCATTTCAACTAAGCGAACATAATACATGGGGGCTGGAAAATATGCGGTTTATGCTGGAAGAGTTTACAGATTATTTTAAACGTTTCTGTGAGCAAAAACTAAAATCTCTATCAGCCGCTGACAAGGACAACCTTCTTATGTATATTCGCAAGACCACAAGCTGCCATCCTGGTTTAGTGGCATTTGCAATGGACAGGATATATGAAAGATTCTCTGCACAGATAAAACAGAATATCAATCCACTAACTTTTGAAAATATATATAAATATCTCA